TTAAATGAAATACAATAATTTAATATATGATTTAAAATTGTTTTTTATTATTTGATGAATTTTACAATATTTTTTTAACTGCAATACGAGTAAAATACATTGACTCAAACTTTGTTTCTTTCAAACTCTTTTAAGCCCAAAATTACAATGACACCTATATTTTTCAAGGTTGTTCCTTTTTCTGAGAGACTGAGGGTTGTAGAGAGAGGAGCTTCAACAGTGCCTGAGACTTGCGGCCCAGGTGTAGGTTTAAAGGGCCCCTATCTAACTCGCATTAAAGACTCACCTTACCTTCCAAATTTGTATGAAAGATTATTAATTGTAGATTTATTTACAACCATATCACTTGCATTAAAAATAACAGATAGAAGGCTATAATTTAAGTGTTATATCACAGAGAATTCCTCTAATACCTCTTCTAGTATAAATGTGCGAGTTTGGATCATATAAATGAAACGACAAAGAGAGAGAATGATAAAGTAAATAGTAACTAAATAAATGTGAAGAAATTAGTTATAACAAATTAAACTGAACTGTTTAATAATAAGAATATTTTATTGGTGTTAAAAAAGTGATTCAAAACAATCTGCAATTTTATCGAGTCAAATAACTTTAAAATTTAAAAATTAAATCATATAAAGTTTAATGTTTGTTAATTATTTTGGATTTTTTTTGAACTTACATTAAAAAATCACGGACTTATGTACCTATAAATCGAAACAGTAGACTGCAATGTGGGGTTCTCGACAAAAAAGTGAAAGGATTTTTAAAAATGCTATAAAATCGCGTGGACTAACATTGTTTTATTTGCCAGTTGAAGAGTGACTGGCAGAGATGCCTTCTAAAAGTTAATGAGCATACTTCTACAGGAATTTTGTGTTGTTTTGTATTTAATTAAATTATCTTCTATATCTTTTGGCATTTTTTAAATTTACAGTCTGAATATGATTTATACGAGGCCGCGTACTATTAGCAAAATGCCTACTTCACTCTGGAAAAGGATAACATTTGCTAGCAAGTTTTAAGTAATATCTAGTCCGACTAGGCCAAACCATACACGTTCTAAACTAGGGTTTCCTGTTTTCAATCCTTTCCAATTTCCAACTTACAATTTTCTAGCCATATGGCTTAGGTATTTTAAATATTCCGAACAATGTTTTATTTTCTTGGTCATAACAAAGTTAATAAAAAATAAGACCAAAAAAAATATATTTTTAAAAAGAACACCTGTTTTTTGCATGCGTAATGATAGTGAGGGTAAGGTCATTCAAAATATATTAAGAAATAAACATAAATGTTTTATATTTTTTGAATTGCATCCAAAAGAGTTACTAGGAACAAAAAAGTATAAAAACCAAGTGCATAATAAGTGGAAGATGCATGAAACCGCTTCGTCGTACGTCAACTACATATTTTCGTCATAACTGTTGAAGCATTGGAAATATTTAATTTTAAAGTTTCATATAATTATTAAAATTATATATGGAAATAGACAAAGCAGCAATAAGACAATGAAAGCAAAATATCATATAAAAACTAGTAATTTTTTGCTGCCATCAAATAACAACAAGGTTGCTTTGCACTTGGTTTCCACCGTTATTTTCTTAAATGGCACTCCTTAAAATTGTCTTCTTGGACTTTTATTGGATATTAGTTCATTGATAACAATAACACAGTAAAGTTAAAATAAGTATAGTATATTTTTCTACCTTTCCATTGATATGGCAAAGTAGACACGAATTTGTGAGGTTGAGTTAGCTTTCAATTTCAATCAATTATATACAGTGATTTTATGTCAAAAAATGGCTATAGAAATAAAGAGCCAAGGGGGGATCGTAGACAACCTTTAATTTACTTTCAACTTACTGGTCTATAAACTTTTAAGCCCGTTAATAATAAATAAAGAAAATTTTGTGTAAAATTAAAGAAACAAAATAAAATAATTAAAGAAAATTTTGTGTAAAATTAAATTTATATAAAGTGTTCATACTATGTAGAATCACTACGTTAGGGAACGGATAATAAGATCTGTAGATGCATCTCCGGGTACCAGCATCTAATTAATGTAGGAGTATATATTTACAGCAACAAAACCAGAACCTGTGTAGGTTGATGAGCCTGCTATAAGAAAACGTCTAGCAGAAACTGGTTTGAAGGTAGCTTGAAATGACAATGTATTTTACACGTGTATTTTTTATATCAAAAATGATGGATTGATATACTTTGAGTTTTTTGGGTAAACTTTTATTAGTCTATAAAATTGTCCAAAATATTAGCTGATAGCATAAATTTTTTTATCTATTTATCTCTACATGCACGAATTACTATATGATCCATTTGTTTGTACGTGATTAGCTTAGCTTATAAATATTCTCATTAGAATGTGGTATAGTACAAAAAGGCATAGTTTATTATTATAATTTTATAGCCATTTTAAACTTTCTATACCAACAGATACCTGCCAATAATAATTAATTAATCGTTACACGTGACGTTAAGCAAATATATTATAGACAATATTTGATATTAAAGAACTAACTGAATACCTATACTATATTGCAATGAGTTGTATGTATTAAGGAATAAAATAAAAAATTTAAAAAAGAGGGAGAAACAGGAATGATAGATATAGACCTGTTGGTGATCTCAGCACCTTTATTTTAGCTTCAGGCAGATCTTCTATTCGAATGTGATCTTAATCAGAAATTCTATAATAATGCTATTGTTATTTGATATCTTATCATATTTTAGGTTCTTTTTTGTACTAAATGAATGTATCATTAATCATTATACATATGTACAAGTGAAGCGTACAATCTTATTGCTCATACGATGTCTACGTCTTATCATATATAATTAAAATTCCTTATTTTGTTAGTAATTTTATGTATACAATAATGACCACTTTTATGTTATAAATAAATATTCGTTATGCTTGCTCACATCAATCATGTTATTTGTTGTGATATGATTGCAGTATTACTGATTTGGATCGTAAAAGTTTAAACGATAAAAATCAAAAACAAAATAATAAAAAACAATTATTTGTAAAAAATTTTGAGTCTCGTTCAACTATAATATTAAAGTCATTTATTTTATTTTTATGTCTTTATTTTTTATACATCGCTTAATATACGCAATTCTGCATTCATAAAATAACGTATTTAATTAATATCTATTTTTTTGATTATGAATAACAATTTTTTTCGTTGGTATTTTTACCCATTTCTTTTTTTGATTTTAGCTGATGATTTACATATAGTTTCTTAGGAAAATGGACTTCTTAGGAAGATGGACAGTTAAGAAAATCATGACTGTCGGTTCTTTAAGTTAGGTTCTTAAGTGTTCACACTTCAAGGTGTAAGTAAAGTCACAGTATAAGTATGTAGATATGTTGTGTGAAGGAAGGCACTATATAAATAGATCATATATATATTTATAGCTATTGAAAGTTGTTGGTTCGTTGCAAATATTCGAATGCTTTCTTTAAATTCTATCCACTTATTTATGTTAATTGTAGTATACGATAAATAGCAAATATTTAGTCAGACTTGCTATTCAAACGTTGACTAACTTTGAGTGATACACAATGATTTATTTAGTTATTAAATCAAATGAAATAGTCACAGCCACTTAACCTTCTAAATGTAGCTGAAAAGATTTTTGAAGTTAATAAAAGTATTAAATTATCTAATTACTTTAGGCTGCACAATACTCTTGCTCTTTACTCATTATTTAAATAAGATGTTAAATAAAATAACTGGTTATGATGTCATAAAATTAAAGATACATATAAAGATTCAATTATAAAGTATTTAAAAGCCTCTCTTTACATTTTGTACAATAGCTTCTAACCAATGCTTTTTTCGAATTATTATAATATTTCTGTTGAAGAGGAAACGAAGTAGGTGTTACTTACATTTACAAATCAAGAATTTGGAGAGCATGTCAGAATAGCATGTACCTTAGAAAGTATTATTATCAAATAGTATATATAGTATAAAATAAAATTTGACTATGAGTTACAAAGCTTTAAAATATATGCTGCAATATAAAGACTGGAGTCCAAATCTATATATTAAAATAGACGCTGAGATGTTTAAATTCCACCAAAGCCACTGTACAAATAACATTTAAATTTAATAACACCCTTATTTAGTAATAGTTTTGTTGAAAAGTATTATTTAAATGAAACTAATATGATGAGATCTAAGCTAAAATGTTTCGGATATGTTTTAACTACGCGTATTTTATTGTTGTAAAAACTACATACACCCGATTTTTCGGTTACTCTTCAGTAACCGTGATGTGGAATGTGAACAATTCTTTATCTGATATCTTCTGAACATTATATGAAATAAATCAATATCACACCGTAACTAAACTTAAAAAGTCTGCAGTCTGTGTGTATGTAATTAATAAAGAAATAAATAAAATATTATTTTACTATCTAAATTTCACCTTCTTCTTCTGAACTAAATAAGCATAACGTATTGGTTAGAATAAAGATAAAATGAAACATACAATTTTAACTCGTTTCAAACTGCGAAGTGGACGGCTCGCTAAACTTGTATCTAGAACACCTGTCGAACTTACCAGTGGAATGAAGGGGAATAAAAACGATAGATAATATATTAATGCTTTACAAACAATCCATTTAACAATAATCTAATGAAATTAATTAAGTGATTAAAAAATATAAGGATTGTATTATTTAGGAATTGTTAGGTTACATTTAACTGTCATATGTCAAAGAAATACTAAATCCCAGTCGCAATGTCGTAACCTGACGATAATATAATATAATTTCCATTAATTTGTCAATATTTATTACATTTTTTTTATATAATTCTGAATGATCCTTTCTAAGACAATAAAATGTGCCAACACTAAATTGAGTGGTCAGACGCAGATGTTAAATAATTTCCACTTGAAAAATTTAACTATGATCTGGTTTAAATAAAACAAATGTACTCATAATATATTTTTTAACAATTTGATTACCAGAAGTTGCTTGTAAAGAAATCAGTTTCGTATTTATTAGAATATGCACATGAGCTGTCTGAGAAGTCCTTAAGAACAAATGACTGGCGATGTTCAGCTAACTCACTGTATTTAGACAGAACGTTCTCAACATTTTTCAGCGTTTCGTCTTGTAACTTTTCCTTTTTGCGTGATAGCACCCAAGTGAATACTGTAAAAGATAAACTTACTATTAATTCTTCTTACGTATTTAATTTTTAAATACATTAATTATCAATTTCCCTATATTGAATTCCAGTATTACACGTCCGGGTATAATTATTTACTCATGCTGCAAAACTTAATCCATTACAATATGTTCAAAGTTTTGGCAATTGAGTCATAAAACAGACTTATTTTTTATTTACCGTAATGGGTCCTTTGCTTTTTCTTCAACGTTTTACAAGTATAGGCGATAGCATATCCACTGTAGTCCGTTGATAATATGAAAAAAGGGAACTGCAGTACCTTATCTAAAAAAAATTAATTGTTTAAATATAACTTCATAAATTTAAGAAATATAAAAAGATTTTCTAAAACTGATCTTGATTAAATATTAATATAAATATTGTGAGAAGAATGAGTGAAAATAGTTTTACAAATATTTTTATACTCTTTTTATTCTTCTTCTTCTACCTGGCAATTTCCCAGCTTTAATCAGGGTCTGCCTTACATGTTAAAAATAGTTTTGGCTAATTGTTTTTACGACCGGCCGCCTGCCTGACATCAACCCTCTTTGGAAATGCATTAATCAGTGGTGTCTAAATACTCTTAGAAAGTACATATGACTCTACTCTTTTTATTTGGAATATATTTTAATACTATTGGAAAGACTGTTGATGGGTTTTTACTTCACAATTAAAATAGCTAAGGAACATACCTCCGTCTTCATGACTGACAATGAATTGTGCTTTTGTACCAGCATCAAATGTTGGGTCTACTCTGGCAAAATACGACTTTTGTGTACGGTTGCCCTGATCAATATCAACGTATGTCTCTCTTAGAGTGTAGCCAAGGTTATCCTCCTGGAAGTCGAGTGACGCACAGTCGTATATGTTCCTACCATCACTTGCATAGCTGGCTACGTTGTACCAAACGCCTGAAAACTTTGATTATTGTTTGTCAATAGAAGCCTTATTCATGTCTTTTGTAAAAAGAAAAATTTGTTAATTAAAGGCCTTCAAAAGTAATAGTAATATAGCTATTGGAAGTATTTGGTAGGTGGAATTTCTATTTCGATAGTATATCTGATTAGCTAGGGTTTTTTTTTATTATTGTTGTTGTTTTAGAAGTAATGTCGCCAAAGATGATGTTAATGGTTTTCAAAATAATAAATAACTTATAATTCTATTTTTCTTATATATTACTCAGGATTCTGTTACAATAATACGAGTAATATTTCCGACTCTTAAGAAATCACACTTACCTTTGTATAATCCAGGTTCTCCTGTATCTTAACGTTTGGACATTCACCAGGTAATGTGAATTCCGCCCCAATAACATAGCTGACATAGAAACACAAACAGAATATTGTCCACATTGTGAAAACAAGCAATTCGTGCAAGCAATCTGTATTGAATGCCGGGGTCGCCGCCCACGCGATAATTACAATAAAATGGACCGCTATGGACCATTTGTATACTCACTAGTTACAGCATCCGAGTTCTCTTTATCTGTTTGTTTAGGACTCGAAAATACTGCAACAATATTCATGAATCATAGAATAAAATTTTCACCAAATAAATGAAAATTTAATGGCGAACAGCACAAGTAGTTTCAGGTGTATAAATAAATATTTACTTATATATGTAGTTAAAGTTTGGATTAAAGATTTTTTATGCTATGTATCATCAGACATCCAGTTTATGCAATTTTGTTATTAATTTTAATGACAAGTAAATTGAAGCCGAGGGAATCAGATTAATGTCCTCCGGTGTTCCTTTTTTAGAGCAGTGTTTGAAATAGCGGATCGAGTTTTATTATTTAATTTCTTACACGGGAACTTAAAACATGATCATGTATGAAATCTCTATAATAATCAAATATAAAGAACAGTTTTTATGATCCGCAAGATATTTCTGTTTTTGTATTATTTAAAACTTTTATATTTTGAAAAAGCAAAGAAGTAAATAGCAGATGTTTTTGATATTGACATATTGTTTCATGTTATAAGCATAGTCGATAATTAAGTTTTGTAGCTCCGGAGTAATTTTTAAAAAGTACCGTATGATATTTTATAAATTATATTAAAATACAAAAGAAAAAAAGTTAATGTAAATATTTCTGACTTTATTTTCTTGTCAATTTCTGTTTTTTTTTTTTTTATATTAAATATAACATTTATTGTTATTGTTATTATTTAACTTTAAAATGTTTTTCCTCGTATACTTAACAATAAGATATACACATTCATTACTTAGAACTGTTGTGTTTTCATGTATTAATTACTTATTATTTATCATAATATAACTTAATTAATAAATATTCATTTTAATGGTTTCTGTGTACAAATTTCTATCGTAAGATTTGTTGGTTTTATTTCTATTCAAAATGATAAAAATATTTTATTAACATAACCGTATAATTAAAATGTTTGTAAGAAATGTATACCATATTATTATTATTATTATTATATATTAAAGTGTTATATCCCAATATTTAGCATACAAATATTTGAATTAAGCCATACTAATTCTAAAAATTTTGTATTAAACCAAAAAGGTAAGGATAAAATATTTTTCCTGTATACTTTTCACAAAGTTTAATTCCTATGGAATATAATGATGACTGATTACAAATGTCTTTTCATATTTGTTTTACTGTATCGCCTGGACTTGAGGTCATTATATAGGTTAAAAAAACTGTGATATTTTTATGAAGTATTTTTGCGTATATATACTATATCTTTAATCATCTTATATTTTTATTATTTTTATCATTTTTTAAGTCAGTTTTTCATATTTTCTAGTTAATCTATTGAACAATATAAATACATAATTCAAATATCAAAATTTCTCTCATTGTATTAAATAACATAAAAATCTTCTTCAATTATATTAGTTCTCCAATATTGTTTTATTCTTGGAACTTATTATTTATTATTAAAATAGATACGATAACCTTTGACATAGAGATGTGGCAGACAATTCGAAACAAGACAGTAGTATCAAGTGTCGCGATGTTTAAATTAATACCACTTTTTATTTGCTTCAATTCTGCTTTCGGTTACTTTACGCTATCTGGAAAATGTCCTGATAATGTAAAATTGCAAGAGAATTTTAAACTGGCTGATGTATGTATTATAAAGTTTATGCTAACAAACTTTTATTTGTCTTTTTGAGCTTGTTTTCTATATATATTTCAAATATTTAATTACTTGTCGATGAACCCAAATCTCCATACTTTTGTATGTTTTAACATATCATCATATATGTACAGATATTTGTTTTTTTATTTGTTTATATGTAGTTCTACGGAAAATGGTATCAGGCCTACCATTACTCTAGTGATGACCAGCACAATAACAACTGCTCCACACTTGAACTACTGACCAGACCTTCGGGTATTTATTTGAACCAATCTAGGATAGACTTGGGGCTATTTCATCGCTACAGTGTCGGAAAAGTTGAGATACCCCAAAGAGAAGAGGATGCTTCATCGTTATATCTTGTGTTTGCATTCAAAAATGCTCCGAGACGATGTCAGTATTAAATATATATTTCTTAAAACATAACTAATAGTTGCTATAAATTTTCTTGCTTGTTTATATTGATTGGAGTGAGCATTCTATAACATTTATTCTTATGGTAAACTTAATTTCCTAGATTAATAGTTGTTAATAATGATTAAATATTGGTAATAAAAATATTTCTCGTGAAGAGCTAACTTTTTGATAGTAATAAGTACATGCTTTTGTGCCTTAATTGTCGGGTAATGTTTCATTGTTAAATTATATATATTCTAATAGAATTATTATAATTAATTTCAGTGAAAATTCGAAGATATCCGTTCCATATTCTCGCTACCAACTACAATTACTATGCTACTGTTTATTCCTGCGAATATAGCCCGCTTATTGACAAACACTTCAGTAAGTACAATAACACATAGTCTACAGTATTAAACTAGTCTCCATTCTATACCTTATCCAATGAATTTAAAAAATATGTCGCAAGGATTTTGTATCTTCACTGAATATCAGATGGAAGTTATTAAAAATGCTTAATTAATCAACACATTATATAAAAACATAACTCAAATTTAACAAGGTTAAATGAAACTATGATTTTCGGATATATGACAAGCATTTATTATTTTTTTATAGTTATTTGTCATCTGACAAAACTGACTAACAGACGCTATCTTGTCCGTGATCACGGTTCCTGTAAAGTAACTAAAACATCGGGTATAAATTTAAAATAACATAATAAATCGCGATGTATGTATATCCGAAGAACATGAAATCATTCAAATGTGCACACAATGGCACACAGTTAAAAATATTAATTTAGTCAAGATGTTTTTTAATATTAAAAAATGTTTATATTTTCTAGTCTACGTCTGGATTCTTTCAAGAAATCCAATATTGAATGACGTATCTAAAGAGCTTGCTTCAAAACCACTGCAGTTAATTGGACTAGACTCCACGAAGCTATGGAAAGATGATATAAGCAAATGCACTCCGAAGTACTTTGAAGATTATCCAGCTGAACCAACTACTTTCAGGTTTCCCGTTCCTATTTAGAAATGAATTAATATGATGAAATAAGATATTGTCGGACTATAGCTATTGCTACAGTTAGTGTTTTATTACACCAAATATCAATATATATTTTTTAAATCTTTCTCTCTTCTTTTTTCGTCTTATTAAGAAGTTATGTCCATATTTTAATATATTAGGGTTTATAGAGATAAATTAAGTTCCTGCCGTTTTTTTAATTACAACAAGCAGTAATTTTATAACGTATTTTAGTTAAAATTCATATAAAAAAAGATTTTTTTAAGCATTTTGAAATATTTACAACCATTAAAAAAATAAAAAAGCCGACGTAAAAACTAGGTCGTTGAACTATCATTATTTAAATAATTTATATTCTTATTCATATTTTTATTTCAATTTAAGTTATTCATTGACACATTACGAAAAAACAGGAATTACGGTAATAACATATATGTAAATCAATAAATAAATGTTTTTATACTACAATCACATGTAAATATTTTATTAAAGACCAAAACTTCTAATATTATTTGGAATTTTTCAAACTTTTAAATTATGAAATTAAAACTAGAATAAAATACCGATTGTTCTTAAGTTGGGGTAATTGAAATTATATAATTATTATATATTATATGTATGTATGTAATAACTAGTAACACTTATATAAAAGTGATTGTTCGTGACATACTTTTGTTTGATATAGTATCATAATCTTATCAGTCACTTCGAGTAACCAAATCCGACCATAATCGAGTTTCGACCGTACTTCAAGGAAATGTTCGTATTCAAGGTTTCGTTACTATGCGGACTTTGTTCCTTATTTGTCAATTCAATACCCTCGTGTTTTATATTAAACTGTAGAAGACTTCCGATGACAAGTGTTTGATGACTCTCAATGATATTTTTGAATAATTATATCAGCATTTATGTAATTTACTTAAAAGAGCTCGCAATATTTTGAGTGAAATATGATTTATTAAAGTAGTCTTACATACATGGCAATTATACAGGGCTTATTGTGTTTGGTAGGAATAAAACTAGATTACTTTGATAACTACCATCGTTGAATGTGAAATTGTTTTAACCCATGGCCCTTGAACTTATGCGTTTTGGATGAACCCAATGTCTTAACATTCCTTCTTGATCTTTAAGACTAAAAATATTAACGCCTTTTTTAAAGAACTTCAAAAAAGAGGGCGATTTCAATTTGAGTGTATATACGAACATATTCTCGAAAAACGCAATCTTTTTAAGAAGATGTTTTTATTGAACTAAGAGAACCAGGTTCTGATGAGAATTTTATATTAAAAAACAAATGTTATAATTAATAAACAAAGATTGTAAAAAATTACTTTATACTAATGCAATCTCTTCAAATTCTGAAGAAAAAAGGAACATCACAGTTAGCTGCACTTAGAAGTAGATGTGATTGTATAAAAAAAGATTTTTTTTAATGAGTTTCAAGTTTCAGCGAGTGAATCATTATCTGTTTCATGATAATGTGCATGGACATGAGCTGACCACATGTGGTCGCAAAATTTTTCACTGTGGCTGACCGAATTGAAGTATGCGAGGCTTGTCGACGGTATTTTCATCAAGGTTTGATGAGCTTCTTCCAATAGATTTGATGACAATGTCTTGTTTCTTGATAACACCCAAGCGAGAACTGGAAACAAATAGAGTAATAACTTTATCATTTACTTTAATAATTTCTATTTAATAGTTTTTCATTTAGAGTCAAATAGGATGGATTTTACAAGCAAAAGTAGGTCTATTCGTCTGTTACTATAAAATTGTAATAATTGCCGAACTGATTTTATTTTATTTTGTCATGATACATTGGACTTTGGAGGAATTTAGGTCCTTTTGGACTAACGCCATCTAATTAATCAAAGTAATGCATTTAAGTATTTTTATTTATTGATTATTATAGTGAAACGTACATTTCACTTCGATATCTTAGGATTACAGGTAACGTTATCTACAGACAGATAATCTGCTCGTGACATAATCTATATGGAGTAAATAATTTATTTTATAAATTTATTACTTAAAATGGAATCTCAATAAAAGGATGGCAAACAGATGCTTTTTAATCTTTATTTATTTTGTTTAGAACTTCGTAGCTTTTTCTATATATTAAAAAACATGGAACTTATTTATTTCAATGCTACAAATTATAGGTATTTTTATTATATAATAAATAAACAATGGGAAAAATAACAAGAGTAAAGGAAACTGATTTTTGGTAACCTTTAAAAACTTATTCAAATAGTTCTATGTATTATGTAAATGAAAGCGATTTATCTGATAATTAAAAATTTTCATTTGTCATAGTTGATTATGTACTATCTAATAAAATGGGAAAATTTTATTACGTACTAGCAAATAAATAAGGAATTTTTTATTGATATATAAATAAGAACTTGTACTCTGCGATATACAAAATTAAATTGTTCAAGATCTGTATAGTATCTACCAACAAAGTAAATGCTTTCATTTTGCATTGTTATTATAAACTAATACATACGAATAACAATTCTACTTCATATATATTTTTATGCTTACCATACTTTAAATTTAGTTCTGGATTAACTTTACATCCATACATGATTGCGTAGTTTGTGTAATCAGTCGTTATAATAGACAGCGGGATTCCGAAAGGATCTGGAAAGTGAAAATATTGCTTTATGTGTGTCGTCCTTACTAGGTGTTTTAAATTAAAAAAATATATATTTTTAGTATTTAAACTTATTTGCAATAAAATTCATACACGATCATTTATAAATAAATAATGTATAAGTAGAATATATTGTGTTGTTTTTACATTTTCGAAGAAATGACATATAATAGAAGTCTCACAGATCTTTTAAACAAATATACGAGTATATTTTCCGAGAGATCATTTAAATGTTATCAGCTTTTTACAAAGAGCTACCGAGTTAATTGTTGTCAAGTTATAGAAAAAAATACTGTCATATTTATAAATAGAAACATAAGGTATGATTTATCTGAAAAAAATCCCAGATAATGAATATAATCCAATTAAATTACCACTCCTTATTCTGGAACAATTAGATAGATTGTCTAGAAACATGCTAGTCATTTAATCATGTGCGATAAAGGGAAATATTTGATGTTATCTACGAAATATCAAAAATGAACATCAGACTGCTTTTAATCGCATGTAATTTGTGTACATCGGTATGCAATAATCCGTTATGTTATATAAGTAAACGCAATATTCAATGATCCTCATGAATTATGACACATTATGATTAGGAAAGATCGCTATTTTATTTTTTACGAAAACTTCATCGCATTGTTGGTCTAAAAACTGACATTGTTATTTTTCACAAACGTTGGTTCCCTTCAAAAATTGTATTAACTGAAATGGCTTTTATAGTATTCACTAAATATATTAGCTTTAATGGCTCCATATTTTTGGTATATCTTTAGACTAAAACGTTCAATACACAATATAAATGGAATATTAATAACTTGTTTATATTTACCTATATTGTTTTTCTGTATATCAAACACGGCCTCTGCTCCGGGTGCGTATGTACTGTTTACGTGCAATACATACTCGATACTATCTTTAACAAAACTATGCTGAAACTCGATCCTTCTACCACATTTCTGTATCATCTTGTAGGAACACATCGCGTTGTCGTCGTACCAGGATGGTATTCGTTCTATTTCATACCATTTACCTAGAAACTTAAAAAATTATTACTTTTTAAAGGTTGTAATACTACAAATCAACAAACAGACGGTCATTTGATTATCAGTCCCACATTCCCCATATGAATGGGATGTTTACTTCTGTTCACATTAGGGATTGAGGGTTCAGGAGTGAAAATAAGTTCACAATACGATTCACATCAATTAGACTTAGGTCTACAAGTACTCTTACTGGTTTTACTTATCGTAACTCAACTACTGTGGCAATTTTTTAGTGTGTAGGAATAATTTTACACTACAGAACCAAATACTAATGATACATTTGAAGTATCTGGTATGAATATCTTGTCAAGTAAATACAATTTTTCCAGTTTCAACATTTTATTATTTTAAGGTTCTAATAGTTACTCTTAACTCTTCTAATACTTAACCCACTTATAGTTATTAACTTACTTATTCGTTCTCATTATAATACATTACAATTTCAAGATTTTATTTTGTTCATTTACTGTACTTACTGTTAACTCTTTCTTATGCGTATTGTACTTAAGTTTTTATGTTACTTACTCGTTCTAATTCAAAATATTTCATAGTTTCCACGTTTTCGCATGCTCCAAATAATATTATTTGTCCGGCACATAAATGTAAACTTAACACCAGTAATAGAACATTGAGGAACATTTCTGCCTCTCACAGATAGCTAATATTGTATGAAGATATTCAGTTACGGATAAGATCTGACGTGAGATGTATTATCTATATTATCTATAGCTACGACTTATAAAAATGTTCTAAGCAAAAGTAGAATTTCAAATCTTCATTGTATAGATATAGAATTTTTTTTTTTACAAGGAGGGTACATTTCGTAATATTAACAATCATTTAATTTGTATTCCACATTATAAATCGTACTGAAATTGATATTGTAATATAAAAAAACAACTATAGGTAAATTAAGAGCTAAATGGTCACACAATAAGAAATTAAATAAAACATAATTAAACATTTTAAAAATTTGATCGACATATTGAGAATACGCTTCGTGTTTGAACAATCATTTGAAACAAATTAGTTATCTAACAAAATCGTTGTTTTTCTCTAATTACACTGTAAAGTGAGGAAAAACATTTTTTTTAATACGGAAGTTTCCTACTGTAAGAATATAAAAGACTGTGTCTAATACAAACATCTTATTAAGTTTCTGCTAATAGTGTTGATTGGAGTAAAATGTATAGTTATACTATTGTTTTTGTCTTAGTTATGTGGGAAGTGGGTTGTGTGAGGCAGGATTTTCGATGCCCTGATGTTCAACCTAGAGAATTAGATTTAGTCGAGGTATTTTATTTTAAGCTATTTTATATCGAACTTTCTATTATTTGAATATATATTAGAAAGTTTGGTTTATAAACATTATTGTGACAGTCATTAATTTATATATCTAATTAAATTGAAGATTATATTTTTCTTATTTACCAGAATATTAGTAAGCATTCTAGTAATTAACTGCAATCGTCTGGTTAAATGTAAAGTTACACTTTCTTATATACTTGAAATACAGTTTTACAGTGATCTGTCTTCATAGCATTTTTAAAATATTTATGGAATATACTGAAAAATAAGAACTTAATTTTCTTAGCGACATGAGCAAAAACACGTGAAAATTTTAATATATTTAGCAAAACCTTTCTGTTGTACTAAATGAAAAATATTTTTACATTGATGTCAGCTCGACGGCGAATGGTACCTCGCAGCCGTCGCTACTGACATGAATATAACGGGGGAATGTGCCTTCATGGTGTTCAATCACAAGAACACTAATACCACAGACGTTTCTATAAGCTGGGTCACGAACAACACAGCCAGTTATTATAATGGTTCAGTAGCGCTCACCGTTGGAAGAAACGGCGGAGATCTACTCTTAGTTACATATATTGGTAAGAAATTAAATATTATTGAAAGAAGATAGTTAATATGAATATTTCATTATAAAATTATACAAAAAGTTTGAGTTGATTTTGAGCATATAATATTTTTATTTAACTAACTCAAATTGTAGATATAGTCCAAACTTCGAATTACCAAATAATATTCATGATATAAAGAAATAAACACAAATATGTGATTATTTACAAAATTTCACTACATTTTAATGTTTCAAATAAATATTTGGAAGTACTAGTTTTAATTAGTATAACTAAAATATGTTACGTCATCAATGTTTCTGTTTTAATTCAGTTATATGTTAGTAGGTCCGCAATTTCCTTCCGAAAAGACTATTTTGAGTATTTAACGAATAAATATAGTCAAGATCTCTTTCAGTAAATAATTTCCTATGGAATCGTTGCTTTTTTGAAACGATATATGTAGTTATACAAACATATTAGTAGCAGTAAGTAATATGACGTAATTGACAAGATCGCTTTATATTAAACATTGAGCTGTAAAGTTCTATTGCTCCCTAAGTGGTGGCAACACCTCTTGTGTTGCAGTTATTCATGGGAGACGGTAACTACTGACATCAGGCAGAACGTCTGTTCGTTTTTCCCTTTGGGATATAATAATAACAATTTAGAATCTACAGAGTACATTTATTTAGAAATATTATACATTTTCTTCTACCAAAAGAATCGTAGTATGAAATGTTACATAATATAAAAATTTAAATTAAATTAAATTTGCATTACTCAAGTGATAACAGAACATGATTTATTATTCTCGAAATGCATATCGTGGTTTGCTTATAAATTTATCTTTTTTGTATTAAAATATTGATGACAAATTAATATTGTTTATATGATGACAGCGTCGCCAATTAACATTCTCTCCTTATCTTATCATTTCTTAAAAAATATATTTGTATATTGTCATATATATTGAGAAATATTACTTTTTTTTAATGTTGTGTTATATTTTTATGATTTAAAAATTATGACAACCTAATCAAATTCTTTTAAAGGGTGTAATGCAACATTAATCTATGCTATTTCTATGGCTACCGAACTAAATATGTAACATGGATATAAAAAATTTAATTTTACTAAGCGCTAAAGTGAACAAGGATGAATTTTTTTGTTTTATTTTGTCAAGAAGAGGCAGGATTCTGTCGGGACAAAGTGTTGCTGATGTTTAGTGGGTTGTATCTGTGTTTTGTTCAATGAAAATTACAGGGAGCAATAAGATAAAAGAATTTTATGTTGAGGATAGGCATTACGCTTTAAAATGAAAATTATTTACTTTTTAATTGTTGTTATTAAAATAAATTTGATAAAGAAGCACCCTAATAGATGACATGACCAGCTTCTACGAATGCCATAAAAATATAAAAAATTGCCTTAAAATTAATAGATAATACTATAGTTTTTTGTGTGAACTAAAATAACAAGATTAATTTCAAACATTAATATTTATTTTGATTATATAACACAAAAAGGATGTTATATAAAAAAAAATTTAATCACAGAAAACTAAATATTCTGCACCTTATCTGCCAATAAGTATAAAAAATCTTTTGTATTTTGTAATTTTAACCCTTAACCACCTACCTCCCGTCTCACAGACGGAAGCTATTTTAAAGTCGTAAATATTTTGCTGTGTATGCGTCTTATGAACCTGTGCTTTCCTGTACCTTTTCCCCGCACCGATCAGTGTTGCGCAAGCACTTATCGAGGTCGGAGATGCGCGCCATTTTTTCCTGGTAAGTAAAAATCTATCTTCGAGTGTCTCAGAGACGGATGGTAGGTGTTTGTGTGACAATTTTTTTTTATTGGCTTAAGGTGAAAATGGCTTTAAACGATTCCATTATTGAACGCTGGTTAGAAGATAACATATCGGATGAAGAAAATATACCGAACGATGAGTGTAGCGATGACGACACTGAAATTGGAGTACAATAGTACTGGAATAATGCAGTGGATCGTGTTCTGAAATTGAAGCCGAGGAAGAAACTACTTTACAAGCAGGTATGGTACCTCTTTCATCCCACAATGTGCTTGACGAATCACAGATTTCATCTGAAGATGAAGTGCCATTATCTGAAATACGGTAAAGACTGAGAAAAACAAATTATTTTGCTAAAAACCGGTACCGTTGGTCATCAGGTCCCCAGGATTCTCGTTCTAGAACATTACAACATAATATTGTAGAAGAAACATAATATTGTAGACTAGCTAAACAGCTTACAACACCTCATAGCGCCGCGAGTGAAATGTGAATCTCCAGCGTGACATCAAAATTTCACTTCGACGTATCCTTCACTATAACGAAGTAACCAGTCAACCAGCAGTAATTTCTAGTACCAAACGTGGTGAAGAAGTAGTCACAATACGAAAAAAATGCTCAACTTGTGATCCTAAAAAGATTCGCAGGACCCAGTACATGTGTTTCGAATGTAAGAGACCAATCTGCCTCGAGTGCTCGAAAAAGCTGTGCATTGACTGCCGTGAAAAGCTGTAGGTTTAGAGTCTGCAATTTTGTTTATTTTTTTATTTTTTCTCTCTAAATGTCTCATGTCTATATTTAATAAATGTTAAAAGATTAGAAAAGTTTATTTTGAAGTTCCTATTTACATTTATTTTTATATTTCTAAAAACGTAAGTTTAGTCAACGTAAGTAAGGCTTAAAAATGCCAAAGTATAAGTGTTGTTCATTTTAGTTGAGTTTATAGTAGGTATAGTTGATCACTTTATGTTTATTTTCTTTTAATAAAACATTCAAATACGTAAAAAAGATATTTCATTCTAACTGGACTCCTAATTTACAAAAATCTTTGATTTAGAGTACAGGTGTCTCCCAGACGGGAGGTAGGTGATTGTGTAATAAAATTTGTAGGTAGGTGGCTAAGGGTTAATTATTCTCACAAATGTCAGAGTTCATGATGCAACATTTTAATTTCGGTTTCTATTAAAACTATTTGTTATTATGTAATTATATATATTTTTTAATTTGTTAGATAAGAAAACTGAAACCTATTCTGTATTGGCCGTCGACTACGAGCACTATGCCGTGATATTTGCTTGTTATGACGACCCCAGTGGGAATGGAAGTACTTGTAAGTATACAATACATATAAATACAAACCTTAAAATTTATATTATATCTAGTATAACCTAATTTTTACTACTTACTAGCCGCAACGCGAAGTAAAAGTACATCTGTGGAACAATTCCTTAATTATGTATATATATAATTGCTAATAGGTATATAGATATTCCATTAACTAAATGAATTTGTATGACAGTACTTTTTTGTATTATATAGTAATACGCTTCCTTTGAATCTATGTCAGTGGAATAAAAACAACAAAAAGTCAATAATACGCTCCACTGACTGAATCCAAATGACTAAAGGCGTGACATATTTCAATTGATCTTATTAGGAAGTACTTTGAAATCTGTCTCCATAGAACTATCTGTCAGTATTTTTTGAACATTGTTACTGGTTATTCAGTTCAAAAGTTAAGTTTTTCTTTGATTAATATATTATATTCCATCGGATTATAATAATACTGAAAGTTAACCTACATTGAATTTTAATTCTTTGTGAATTTAAATAAAATTTCATTTTTAAGCCTTTGGTTATCTTAATATATGAATATTTTTAGATGAATTATGGAAGTTGACTCGTGCACCACATCTAAAACGAACTGATGCTGTACAGCTTGATAGGGCCGTCGCAAACTACAGCCTTCAAAACACCTCGTTTATGTTTTTCAATAATTCTGAACGTTCTTGTAAAATAAATGGAGGTTACCTGAACCAGGCGTCCCTGGTACTGACATCGGCGACAGCTTTAGCGTTGTTTAGAAGATTATATTAGAATTTATACAGATCGGGTGAACACTAAGAATATGTAATATGTTTTAATGCTGCATTAAAAACAAGTTGTATTCTATGTTTAAGAAAATAATAGAATTTTAACTTAAGTTATATACCTATATGTCTAATCAGTGATACTTTTTCAAATGTTTTTACTAAAAATTATGTGTACAAAATGGTTGTAAGTTTTATTTACAGCGCCATCTAAGGAAATTGTGATGCACTTGTTACTAGAAATGTTTACAGCATGATTACTTATGAAATTAGTTGGAGTAGTGTCTCATAGATAGCAGTATTAATAAAATGATTTCGTAGATAATAATTTATAATACCTAAATAACTTAAATTTAAGAATCATATATATCATGTAGAATAAAAAATGTTTTAGAAAAATTGGATACACGATATATGCATTGTTAAGGTCTACAAAATTTCCAACAATAAGTTGACTGAATTATAAAGAATTATGTAGTAAGTAAGTATGTAGCTTGAACCTACAATAAAGTTATTAGTAAGTTTTAGTTAATATACTTTAATGTTCTAATCCGGAGTACGTTTGAAATTTAATCAGATCAAAATAACTTCCTAATGTATAAGCGAACCTCAATATTTCAATCCTATCCCAGCTTACTTATTATGATTACACCGCGTTTCCCATAGTTCACTGCAAACTTCTACGGTTAGTCGCTCGTTGATTTTTATGGAGGTTTTTACACTAGCAAGGATAATTTATAATATACGATTAATACATATGTTTTATATATAATAAATATGTGAAGCAAAATAAATTGTGTAATAATTACGAATGCATGACTTTCATTTTTATTTCCCTTCACTGCATTATTTAAGTATATTTTGTTATTGTATTTCAAATAACATCTGTATATATGTATAGTGTAAGTAAATTCGCACGATCAAGCATTTTGTTTTAAAATCGTTGTCGTGTCGTACTCTTGACGTTAGATGTAAAATGGTCTATGGAAGAGTCCGTACTCGAAACCGACTTTGCAAGCTCATTTTACAGCTAAAAAAAATATCCTTCTAAAAATCAACCTTACTCTGCAGAATTAAAGTTTAAATTCGTGACAAATATCTTGTAAAGGTTGAGACAAAGTATGCTTTGTAGGAGAGTTGATTACAGTAATGCCCGAAGGTAAAATAGTAAGTTCTTTGGTGGTTTTGCGGGATATAAACGATATGTGAAGTCGGTAAGTGTTCTAACAAATTAGTTCTACCGGCAGTTGCTTTGAAAGGGAATAGTTTGTTGTGTTCTCAAAGCCAGGCTTTTATAAAATACCTCATGTCTGGGTTATTCGATATAATTCATTGTTTCCAGTCTTTTCTATTCTTCTTTTAATTGTGGAATATAAATTAAGTCGTTATACTTATTCTTTAGTGCAATTTTATACCAAAAAGGTTATTCATATCTATAGAGTGTGAAGTAAGTAGTTAAATGGTTTAGTATCTTTCATTGACATATATATGTATGTCAGAAATATATCAAATAATTCAAATAGTTTACCCATTCATATTATAATTAGTATAGGAATTTAAAACTTCAACTTTAATATACGTAATTGCAAGGGTTTTATATATAAATAAGGATATAATTACTTGAATCTCATATAATTTATAAATAAAAAACAAATTATTATTGGCCGTGAGAGGTTACAATACAAACTCATATTAAGTAATCTATTTCAAACGAGTACTACGAGTGTTGATACTCAAATCAGGTAGTAGAAAGGTTCATTATTCAAAAATTTCAGTCATTTCATCCTCAGAAATACGAAACAGGACAAAGTAACAAAGTAACCGTTTAAGATGGATCATTTAACCCACAGATGCAATCAATTTTGATACTCATTGCATTCAATTCTACTTAAGATAAAAACCTTATTATTTTTATGAGCTCCACTTATGATTTTAGTGAGTTAGTTCAAAAACAAATCAATTGGTCAGTTTGATGAAACAGCAATTTTCATTTAACTTCAAACTATTACATACAATGTTTATATGATTGCTTCATAGTAATTTTATTATTAATTCCGCATTTCTGATTGAAATATTTATATAATTTTGATGACAATCTAACAATATTACACATTCAATTGATTTGGTAATAGTCGCTTGATGAAACATAATGATTCTGACAGAGTTACAATAATGATAGTTCTACGTAATCTGGTTTTAATAATAATCTTTTTATGTTTATTAAGCTAAGAATAAATTTTCGTGTACAATATTTACTGATATTGAAAAATACTTTTCATTTTCTTTAATGCATCTTGTTAACTAAACGTTTAGACTTATTATCAAATTAAAACTGTGATACTGTCTTTGTTTAGTCTACGTTATAAGGTTGCGTTGTAGGCCAGTATACGTGACCATGAAACTATATATATATATATATATATATATATCTTTATGAACAAACTTGCTAACAGTAAAACGGAAAACTAATTAGTTGTGAGAGAAAATAAAATAAAGTCCGCGTTGCTGTGTTAACGACTGAGGTCTTTCATACCTGGACTTAATTTTGTATGCAGGGTAGTTAGTTTAGTTTTGATTTTTTAGTAGTTTTTTATTAGAATTCATCCATATATACATGAATTTTTTTATGTTTTTCCCGCTTGTTATTTATTCAGACCCAAATCGTATTGCAGTCGTATATATCATGACATAAAAATAATAACTGCTACCGATTCTTAATAGGTCTACATTTGCAATAAAATAATTAACGAATTTGTATTCCACTAACAATAATTAGTCGAACAGATGAAGACTCATACATGAAACTCCGTAATAACGAAATCTGGAAAACTATTTAGCTTATTAACATGTAGTAGATATAAAATTTTTATCGAGACGAAATGTTAGATTAATTCCATAATAGCGTAAAAAGGGGTAAATATTTATTTTTTGTGTTCTTTAGCGCCTTTTATTATAAATTTTTAATAGGTAACTGCATAATTTTGAGTTAATTATGCTTATGACAAATCTTGAATTTAAATCTGTTTTTTTTTGTTATGCTACGGGAAGTTCAAAACTTACTCTGTCAGTTAAATTTAATGTTCATTGTCGTATTATGTAGTAGAATATTTCTTTTCCAGGTTTTATTTATTATCCGTGCTAAGGATCTCAATTCAATAATATAATCTAATGTAATATACAATATAGAAAGTACAGTAAAGTACACTACACTACCATACAACCTAAAAAAACAATTCCTCATGAGATTCCTCTGAGACTTCTAATTAGTTAATTTTTGGTAATTTTAAGCAAGGAATATTAAATTTGACCTTGGGTTTGGTAAAACCGGTAGCAAAACGAAACGCAATTATCCATAAAAGAGATCGTTCTATTAAATTCATAATGGTCTAACAACAATATTATTTATTTGAAAAGTCAAAGCTCAGACAATTAATGCGGAAGTTTCCTTTGTTAGAGAAAAACCATGTGATGTAGCAAATGAAGCTGCAAGCTGAAACCTTTGTTTCAGACAATGGTATAAATAATTTTGATACTATTGTGCTCCTTCTGTTGTTTCATGTTTTTTATTTTCCAAATGTTTTAGATGTTGTCCCACTAATATTTTAAATGAGAATGTTTTTTGGGATTTATGAATGTGGCTGTATTGATGTGTGTATGTGTGTGTGTGCAATGTGCATGTCTGCATATGCAGATGTGTTGGAGATCATATGTCGATGTTTGTTGCTCTGTTACGCAAAAATTACTCAACGGTTGAAAAAGTATCAGAAATAGATTCATTTGTTTATAACTGTAAAACATATTATTAATAATAATTAAACCCTATCAAACTGTTAGCAATACAAGCTACCTTTAAAAATTTCCTCTATATAATTTTCTTTTATAAATAATATATCTAGGAAAATATTGAAAATAATGAAAGCTATTTAATTATTGCAATGTATGTTTTAAGAAAAATACCGAGAAATATGTTGATTTTGCTTATTTTGTTTAAAAATACGAGACATTTAATTGTTTTAATATTTGTGTAAAACAAAATAAATGCTATATTTCTTAAAACATTGTAATATACGTCTAATATTGAATATTGAGAAAAATAAAGGTTAAAAAAAGGAATAAAAGGGTGTAGAATACACACTAATAGCTATTTAAGACTATTTCATTTTAGTTTCCAAATGTCAATTAAGGTCTTACCAACAACTTTCTCTGGAGTAACTTCAATTTATAACAAAGGAGCACCGCAGGGATTTATTTTTGAGAGTAATGTATTGGTTTTTGTTCAATAGTTGAAAAAAAAAACTATCCACGCTACAAGAAGCATTCAGTAGTGTTTTTTACACAGGTTTTTGAAAAACGAACGCCTATTTTATCCTGAATTTAGCAAACATGCTAAAAGCTAAAAACTTGGTCTTTACCATTGTATGTGACCGGTTCACACGCTGACAAGTAATGCATGCATGCACTACGCCGGTATCAAGCAAATCATGAATAGTGAATTATACTTCCAGAAAAAAAAATCATTAAAGTCCCCTCTAGAATAAAAAGTTACATTAGAGTCCTGTTTCACCTTTGGGTTATATAGCAGTGACTTTAAGTTATTATAATAAATATCTGTAAAATAATTTTAAATATACAACTTTGCAATAAGGAAGTGGAAAAAATGAACCTTTTTTGTGCATGTACATGCGTCCTTTGGTCTAGTGCAAGCTGAATACACGTGTAAACCTCTCGAGGTTTGGTCCGACTTTTTAATTGAAGGTTTTTATAAAACAGCTCTTTGTATGTGACCATTCTATCGCTGGCTTTGAAACAATGCTCTGTTTCTCTGAACGTAAAAAGGAATGTTCATTTAATTTTTATATTATATATTTTGACTGTCGAATATTTATGATGTAGCTGTTTTGTTCGTCTATTTAGTTTTTTGACTTTATTAATTATATTAAAGTATAAAAAAGGTATCGGAATGTAGTAAAATAAATTGATATTATGAGATCTAAACTTTCACGAGTA